TGAAGTTCCAAATAGTATTGTATGTCTTTAGTGTTTTGACTGAATGAGAAGAGTGACACCTCACATGTTGCATATTGGTCTTTCTGTCACAGAGCAAAACAGTCATAAACCCAGCCATGCTTTTCTGTTATGAATCCATAGAAATACTAACATCTTATCATATCTCAAAATCACACTGTGAAAGGAATGAAAATCATTACCTTTGTTCAACCTTTGCATATGCTGACCCTACTCCTTTAATTGGTTTTTGAATAACACCCAGGGAAACTTTCCTTGGAGAGTCTGTTAGCATAAAACATCTGTGATGTGGCATGTAGCCCAGAAGAACACCAGAAGTCCTACAATTCTGACTCCAATCCTCTTCTTTTGTAAGTGAAGAAACTGAGGGACAAGAAGATGAAGGAACTTTCTTTGGGGCCAGACTTAGTTCCTAAGCTGGGATTAAAATTCAGATGTCCTGATTTTCAGTCTCTTTATTTTATACTTCATGGTTTTGTCCAAAGTGACCACCTGATCATCCTACTCTGAGTGCATAAATATTTAACATGCCAGATAGTAATTTGTTAGAAGAAACGGATTTTGCAGTCATGAACTTTCAGCTCTCATATTCATCTTACTATTAACTTTTTTATTTCTTGTATTCTAAACTTGCATATATTCCCATTTTATCACTCTATTGCAATACTTGAATTTTTTGAAAGCTTTGGTTTGGCTACTTTATTTAGTTTTTGACCATATTTTTAAGGGATTATTACCCTGAATGATTTAAAGACAGCTATCCAACAAGAAGTATATGAATGAATTTCTTTACTATCTGCCAGCTCCTCTATTTATTATTTTGAGTGATAAAATCAAACTTTCCTTGATAAACTCCCCATAGACATTTTATTCTGTTTTTCTAAAATTACCATTTGACAAATATTGGCTAAAAAACATAAAATAAAATTTTATTTTGTCCAAAAAAATAAAAAGCAAATTTGCCACACCTTAGTATGAATTATGGTTTTCCTGTTTATACCTTGATCATAAAAACAAATGCAATCTTTAAATTTTTAGTAAAACACAGATATACATTTAATGATATGAAAAGTCCCATGAAATATAGATTGAATATTAGTTATATTCTAAAATATTCTTGTATCTTTTAAAGAAGTATATTGTTTTAATCTAACAAGTTAGATTATAAACTGTACAGAGTTTAAGAAAATAAGGAAATAGTATATGAGCTAAGACCACTAGGCCTTCTATTCCTGATTAGGATGTACAACATCACAAGTGACTATTTTTCCTACTATAACAGGAACACATAAGATGATCTTCAAAATTACAGTTTCTTTTTTTAATCCAAGAGAAATTTGGTGACAAAAGAAGCATGAATAAACTAATTCCAGGAAGTGACAAGGCCCACACAAAACTAAAAAAAAAAAAAATTCCTGAGTGCTTTCATCCCTGATGGAACAAGACAAAGAAAACACACTACAGATAAGAAGCAAAGAGAAATCAGCTCAACATTTGATCAACTTTTAACATATACATTTAGACTATGTGTGATGAACAAAAATCCCAAAGAGCCCCAGCTACAGAGCAGGACTGAACTACTTAACAGGTCTCTTATTTAATCCCTTATTTAAAATGTTGTGAGTGAAAAGTCATTAACTCAATGGCTGGAGGTAAATCAGGAAAGTTTGAGAGAGATCCTTAAACACTGGCTTTCCTGAAGGCCAGCCAGTGGCTGCTGAAGAGTAGGAGTGGGACAGCATTACTAACAATTCTCCCCAAAGCTTTCATGTTATGGAAAGCCCAGCAGCTGGGTTCTAAGCACAGAGAGGAATGAAAGCTGCAAGAAATACCTTTGCGCTATTGGAATGTGAGGAGTCTGCCGTAGTTCAGTGTATCGCAGACACCCTGCAGAACCTGAGAGATACTTTGAGGGGAATGAATTTAAAGACAGATCCAAAGAAAATCTGGCAGCTAGAATGTAAAGCAATATAGATTTTACCAGGAATCAGATCCCAATCTGTACTGAGTAGGAAGTATGATCCTGCCCTCAAAATATCTGAAGTCAATGGTCAAGTGAATCTAAGTCAAGTCACAAAAGAGAGCAAAAAAGTAAAGTCACAAAAGCTCAGCTATAGATTAACTTGACTGAATAAATGGTGTGCCTTTTTGTGAGGATAAATGTTATTTTAATCCTTTAACACAAAGCAAAACATATGATAAGAAATTACAAGATACACGAAGAAGGAAAAAAAGGAGATTTACAGTCAAGAAAAGAAATAGTCAATAGAAGCAGAATCAGAAATGCTCCCTCCGGATGTTGAAATCATCAGATGAGAATGTTAAAAAAACTATGATGAATATTCTGTACAATCTGTTGCAAAAGTTAAGCAACCAGTGTGAAAAGAATAATTTCATCAGTGAAATTAAAATTATAATAAGAAATATTAGAAATTGCAGTATCAAAAAAATTAAATTAGATGGGCTTAATAACAGAAATAACAGAAGACTAAGGTAATCAGTGAATTTGAAGAGAAGTAAAAAAAAAATTGAACTGAAAAAGGAAAAACACTCTGAATCTAAAGTCATATGATAGACTAAGCTTAACTTGTCTTTATATTAATTGAGCTCAACTCTGATTCAAGCTATATATGATAATATTAAATTTATCTAGAATATATGTAACTGAATTTCCTGACTAAGGTGAGCAAGAAGTAAAAAGAAATATTTGAGGAAATAGTGGCTGAAAATTATTCAAAATTAATGAAGGGTATCAACTCACAGATTTAATAAGCCTTGCAAACCCCAAGTAGAGTAAATACAAAAATTTACACCTAGCCATGCCAAAATCAAAGACAAAAAAGGAAATTACAGAAGTATCTAGGGGTAGTAACTTGAGTGGATGTTGGAGAAAACACATTCCATGCAGGACAGCAATCATAAAAATGACACTTCTCACTAGAAATAGGCCAGAAGACAATAGAACACAAGAGCATGTACTGTATAATCCTATCTACATGAAACTCAAGACAAAATAAAACTATCTTGGGCTGGGATTGTGGCTCAGTGGTAGAACGTTCACCTAGCACAGGCGGGACCCGGGTTTGATTCTCAGCACCACATAAAAAATAAAAGCATTGTGTTGTGTCCATCTACTCCTAAAAAAAATATTAAAAAGAAAATAAAACTATCTATGCTCATAAAATTTACAAAGCAGTTGACTCGAAGTGAGGAATTGACTAGAATGGAGCATAAGTGCACTTTCAGTGATGATAAAATGCTTTATTTAACTTATTTTGAGTATAGGTAACATGGCTGCATACAGTTATCAGACCTCATCTAACTCATCATTCATTAGTACACTTTTAAATGTAAATTATATTTTATAAATATTTCAAAAGCCAATAGGGACATTAATGTCTTTAAGCAAAAATATGAATGATCATGTGATCCAGAGTTAAAGTCTAATGAATATCAAGGAAAAGAATGTATTACTCCAGAGTCACACATAGAGTATTACCTGAGCAGCATCCATTGTTTGATGATGAGTGAATGCCCAGGACATAGGGGCAGACTCCCCAGTAAGCGTTTTTTAAGAAACACCTGGACTACTCATTAATGCTTGTTACTGTTTGGGGTCTATAAAAACATATAATTAAGGAAGTTTTTTATTGTTTAATATATTATATAATATAGCAAAGAGTTAGGTAATCAAGCATGTAAAAATCTGACATTATGTTATAGCTTTTCTTTATTAACTCTGACCTGGTGTAACTATAGCAGAAAACTTTATGTCTATAATGCATTGTGGTGCAAATAATTGTTAAGTAAATAATAACTCATTATTAATTAATAATTATTTATTTTCAAGAAAATACATTATTTTCAACTTGAAATGTGGGTATGTACCCCATGTAATATAATTTTCACTCATTTTGACCCATTGCGCAACATATAAGGAAGAGCAAGTAATTAATGGTTGAAATATAACTATAGTTTTACCTACATCATCTACTAAAAGTGTAGAAAAGTCATTCATCAGTTTATGTTTTTATTTTTTTAGTTTTAAATTTTGGTATGTTTATTGGTTCATTATAATAATACATAATAGTTTAATTTATTATGCCATATTTATACATGCACATAACATAATTTGATCAATCTCATTCCCTAGTACCTTCATTTTCCATTCCCTTCTCTCTTGTCTCTCCCCTGATCCATTTGCTCTACTCTACTGATCTTCCTATTATTATTATTTTTTTTCAATTGTACATTATAATTGTATATATAAATAAGATTCATTGTAGCATATTCATACATGAACATTCCATAAGATGGCTGTTTATATTCATTCTTTTATAGTTATACACAATTAATACATGTCTTGACAGTTACAAGTAATTGTGAAATTCAGTCTAAACGTGGATATGAAAGTCAAAATCCTGATGGAAAATTATATACTGAGGTTACTTACAAAAGTGTTCACCTGTATTTCCTGTTGCATTTAATTTTTTAAAGAAAATTTTGTAGAAGTCTTATATAACACCTCTAGGAATTTCATGTTCATTTCAAATTCAGAAGGAAGCAAACTAGACATGGCAGTAGAAAACACAAAATGAGTTTTTAGATGAATTTATAGAATTTTGTTATTTAATGTTTGCCTTATTTCATAGTACATTCAGAAGGAGTTAGTAAACCGTAATGTTTTTGTTTTGTTTTGTTTTACATTTAGGAGGCTGATGTGGCTTTCTAAATTAAATTTATCCTATGAATAAGATTGCCACATTATGCTGATGGGAATAGTAGTTTGTATTTACGTTAAGATGAGGAACAGAAAAAGGAGAAGGATGCTACACTGCTAAAACCGTTGATACATTCTTAGATACTTAACATTTGCTTGCTTTGCAGGCAATACTTTTAGGGAAAGGTTTGTGTTTTACTTTTTTATGGAATGGGAGATGTAATAAAAACATATTAAATCCTATTATTTACTATGGTTTCAGATACTCATGTCAAACAACTACCAACTATTCTCCACTGTGCAGCAAAATTTGGTTTAAAGAACCTGGCTATTCATCTGCTTCAATGTTCAGGAGCAATCTGGGCATGTAAGATGAAAAATATGGATGGTTCAGACCCAGCACAGATTGCTGAAAGGTGTGGTCACAAAGAACTCAAGAAAATCTTCGAAGATTTCTCAGTAAGGTTTTTTCTTATTATACCTCTAAAACTCTTTTATGAAGTAACTGTGTGCATGCATTTGCACATGTACATTGCTTTTTTGAAAATATTATTGTAGCGTGGCTAATCTGTAGTATCTGTTGGTTCTGATCTATCCATCATCTTAAGAAGCATTTTGCAAGATTAGTCAACTTGTTCTAGCATTGCCATGAACCAACTTTGATTCCCAATTTTAAACATAATTTTTGAAACCTGCTTTATCTGACTTCTATATAGCCTGTTTGATATTGAAAAGAAATAAATTTATTACTTTTAGTCTTCTTCTAAAATCAAGGTAGTTTTAGACACACGAAAACAGGTCAGTTTTATGTTAAATGAATGCATTTTGATAATAGTTCAAAAAGCCTACACAATAAGAAGTTAACTTATGTTGCTGAAATTTATTTATCTTATTATTTATGTTGAAATCCCAAATTTCAGAACACTCTTTAATGAATGCTAGTTTTATAAAAATAAAGCCAAGAGAAAATTTTATCTCAGTAAATAAAATACACTTTGTGTATCCATAATCAAGTTTAGAAACCATTTTTTTTCTGTATGTAACAAAAGTATGCACATTTTGCTGCAGAAAGTGAATTAAAGTTCTAATGGCTCTTGGAAAAATATAATAGGACAAAAATTATGCTGGTGAATACATCAAAATTTATCTTTGGAGCCACAAAACAGATATAATTTTATTGTCAATGAGCAGTTAATATAGAGCATTGAAAAACTATAGACAGATTCAGGTCATTTCAGCATTTTTTACAATTATCAGATTAAGTCAATATAATACTGACTTCTAAAAAAAATCACTGGCATTTTTAATTTCCAGAGAGTGAAATGACAAATAATGGCCTTTTTTCCAATTGTAAAACATGGCAAAATAGTTAACAAGTGAGCATGGATATTATCCACTCTCTAGAATGATCTTCGTGCCATCTTTATAATAAATGTAATAAAATTAATAAAAATTCTGATTTTTTAGTCCATGTCCTTCAAACTAGAAAAGTGCATTATTTTCGCTTCTGGAAAGATTTTAGTGATTCTCAAAAATGCCAACATTTAGTTAGTTCTTCTAGTTTATCTGATGGGTACATTCATTTTAACAATTATCTACTATAACCAACCATGGTAGAACAAATTTGCAATTCCAATTACCCTGAAGATGGAGGCTAGAGTACCATAAACTTGAAGCCAATATCAGTAACTTAGCAAGACCCTATTTCAAATTTTAAAATTAAGGAAACAAAAAAGGCTGATGATGTAGCTCAGTGGTAAAGTACCTTTGAATCCAATCCCTAGCAATGAAAAGAAAATTTAAAAATTACTGTGTGTAGTCATTGACCAGAGCAACATGGCATCTATCTGAGGTAAGTCAAGGAGTGAATTTGGCCTTGGATATTTTCCCATGATACTGTTATTCAGTATATCCAACTCTTTATCTATCCTCTAATTTTTAGCCATTGATGGACATAGGTTAAAAGTTTTTCTAGAAGTTTCAGCAGCTAGAATTATTTTCTCAGATAAACCCTAATTTTCAAAGATTGATGCTTCAGTTCCTGTTCTCAGTGAAGACTGCCTTTTGACAGATGCAGCCCATGCAAGCTTCACGTGCTCTATAAGTGATAAAATACTAGATAATGATGAAGATGCGGGGGGTAGAAGATGGGAATTTACAGATGTGGGAAATATTTTCTTCTCTTACATCCTCTGGGTATTTATATCTTTGTTCCTATAATAATAGTACTGATATGAAATGATCACTATCATTCTCTCTAGGTGACTATTCACCCTTTTGCAGAGTTCTGATTGATCATTAGCCTATGGGATTTGTGAAATGATTTTTATATATTCTGTCTTCATGACTTGTAATATTTTACCGGAATGTTTTTAGTAGACATTGTAGATCAGATAGATATCAATCTATGAATGCTGTGCAGTGAGAAAGATGCTCCAAGGATCAACAGTTCCACAAGTACATTTTAATGACTATAGATAATTTTAAGTGTAATAATTTAAAAACCTATCAAAGGCCTTATTTATAAATGTGTGGTTAAAAAATGAAAACATGAGTGTTAGGCTGTGAAACACATACAAAAATAGTTTCATGTTGGTTTATTTACCTCATAAATCTGGAAGTAGTCTTATCTTCTTAAAGTATGCCAGATAACTAGATATTGACACTATTCTAAGTTATGATAGCTATGTCTAAAAAAATATCTAAACCTAATAAAGGAAAACTGTGGGATCTCATTTTGCTATTAAAATATTATATTTTAATAATATTTGCATTGCTTTAGTTTTATAAACACACTCTGATGAATCAAAGATTTTCTCAAGTGCATTCAAATTTTCTATGAACTATTATTTCTGAGGAGCTGAAAAGGCAGATATCTTTCAAGTTGTACATTTACCAACCACCAATGGACCATACCTTTTTATTTTTAAAAAAATCTATTTTTAATTGAAATACATTTTGCCTCTGATGGATTTGCTTATCTGTTGAATTCTTCCTAATCCCCTATCAATGTAATGTTCATTTTAGAATCTCACAGGGAGTCACAATACAGTGAGTTGGGTCATAACTTAATAAAGTGAGTAAAAAGAAGAAGCCATTTTGCTTTTAGAAAAATACAGAAAATAATGTATTCATAAACCAAGTGACATTCATATTTTAGTGTTAGCTATGTAAAGGAGAAGAAAGAGTTGTGGGGAGAAAGGAGAGTATGTCTAAAATCATAATTCTTAAATTATTTTATGACATCTTTTTGAGAAGTTAATTATTTATTCATAATTTATGAACAGAGCCTCTTGTGAATTGCTTTCAAGGTTTGATAAAGTTATCTAGCTAACACCTACACTTCTTTTGTTATTGGTTCTTTTAGTTATACATAACATTAGGGTACATTTTGACATAATTATAAAAGCATGGAATATAATTTTCTGTAATTCATTCCCAGTACTTGCCCTTTTCATCTCCTCCTCCCTCTCCCTGTTCCCTTCTCTTTATTATACTGATCTTTGTGCTATTTACTTTTAGACATTTTTATAGTTAATATCTTGTGAATGATGGTGAAATTCACCGTTCATATACATACGTAGGAAAATTAGGTCAGATTCATTCTGCTGTTCTTCCTTTATTCCATCCCTTCTTTCTCCACCTCAGTCCCTCTGCTGATCTTTGTTCTATTTTGTTGGAATTCCTCCCCTCTTCCCTTTGACTCTTTTTCTTTCTCTCTCTCTTTTTCTCCTTATTTTGAACTAGCTTTCATAAATCAGAGAAAACATTTGATCTTTAGCTTTCTGAGCCTGGCTTATTTCACTTAGCGTGATAGTCTCTACTTCCATCAATTTACCAGGAAATTCCATAATTTCATGCTTTACTATGGTTGAGTAATACTCCAATGTGCACTCATAACACAATTTTTATTCATTCATCTGTTGAAGAATACCTTGGTTGGTTCCATAGCTTGGCTATCATGAATTGTACTGCTATGAACATTGATGTGGCTGTATCCCTAACATATGATGATTTTAGATCTTTTTTATATATACTGAGGAGTGAGATAGCTGAATCATATGGTGGTTCCATTTCTAGGTTTTTGAGAAATCTCCACACTGCTTTCCAGAGTGGTTACACAAACTTACAGTCCCACCAACAATATATGAGAGTACTTTTCCCCACATACTTGCCAACACTTATTATTACTTATATTCTTGAAAATTGCCATTATAACTGGGGTGAGATGAAATGTGCTTCTTTATTATTTTCAGCTATTACTGGATGTTAAAACTATGTATTTCTACAATCTATAAAATCTTTCAAATGTTTACTCATTTTTCAGTTTCTGGCAATGTCTTCTATAAAATTAATATGAAAGATAGATGAACAAAGGTCAAAAGATTTGGTATTTCAATCCACAACTAAGTATGAACCACTATTTGCTAACAGAATTCTTGAGGAAAACCCAGACAATTTCAAATAACAAGTGTCAATATTGATGAATATATAATTCACTTAAAAACATACCTTGTAAGTTTAAAATACATGGAAAATTGAATGTAAACTGGAACCTAGCCTTAGATCAAGAAACATTTTTGACAGGCTGGGGATGTGGCTTAGTTGGTACAGGGCTTGCCTTGCATGTGTGAAGCCCTGGGTTCAATTCTCAGTACTGCACACACACACACACACACACACACAAACATATACATACACAGAAAGGCACTTTGAGATTTAAGATAAAGCATACAACAAATATGAGTGTTTATTTTAAGCTAAATGATATAAGTAATTTTTTCTTGTTTTGTCTCAAGTATATCACCCTTTCCATCCCCATCAATTTAAACCCTAACAAAATGATTGCACCAATGTGTAAATAGAGAAGGAAAATATGTCTTCCTCTGTCAGCTGGTGGTGGAACTGAAGAACCAACAGTCATTTACCTTAGGTTCAATTTTAAAAAAATACCTTTTTTCTTTCTCTACAATATTCATTCATATGGTTTTGGGTCAATAGTAATAAGATCTTAATCATAGAGATTCTTCAGGAAAATTTTAAAAAATAGGAAAATTAGTTTTCTGTATACTTTCACTAGCTGACTTTTTAGGAACACTCTTGATTGGGAACCTTTCTATTACTCACATCTGTAGCATTCCTGGGACATCCTGTTCTCATGAACCATCTCTACAGTTTTCTTTGCCCCTGTGGACAGTGGGCTCCAGTATGTGTGTGTGCAAATATTCTGTGGCCCTCTGGTGTCTGATTGAAAGATCCTGATATTTTCCAAATGGTCAAGGGTTGGAATGAAAATATGGCAGAGTTGATATTAAAGTATTCACAGTATCCCTGATATAAAGCAATAACTGACTCACATTGAAAACCTCTTGTTCCAGAAGTTAATTAATCTTGTGTTTTGGTCAGTGAACATTCTCTTTTTCTTGGCATTGTTCACTTAGTACATTCTACCTAGTGTT